GCAGGGAAGGATCCAAATCCTCTCCCTGAGCAGTGGCAGAAACAACAACTGACTGTAACCCCCATTCCCATTCCCCTGCACTGCTGGGGGGAGGAAGGAAAGGTAGAAGGAGGGGTGGGGAGAAGGTGTTTTTCAGACTGTTTTATTTCTCACTCTTTGGCTTTTATCCTGTCAATAATATATTTAAGTACTATCCCTACTTTGAGTCTGTTTTACCCATTAGAAAGCGACTTTCTCCCCACTCTTATCTCTACTAAGGAATCCTCAACTGTTTTTTTTTCTCTCCTCTGTGGAGTTGCAGAGGGAAGGGGGAGGTAGTGGCTTTTAGTGGGTGTTTGAAATCAAGCCAGGGTCAGCTCACTACACCAACCCATGCACTTGAGGCTTTTTTGTGATGTCACAGCCCATCCTCTCCATTCTGGAACAGCCTGTGGCAACCAAAGAAACAACATCCTAAAACCCCAAAGTAAACTCTGGGAATAATTTATTTTTAAGTCTTCCATTCTTTTGTGATTTATTAGAGAGATTTCACAGCCACACTCTATAGTCCATTTGCCACCTGGAACCAATTCCTGCTTCCCCAGCCCCAGGGATGGTTTCCTTGTCTGCTCATTCCTCCACACTCTCTTCTCAGTGATGGCATCTTAACCAGACAAGTCCCTGGGAATAATTTCCTTCTAAGTCTTCAATTCTCCTGTGGTTAATTATTCAGATCTCAGAAGTGCAAACCAAGTGAATATATTGTATTAATAAAACAAAGAATAAACATGTCTTTTTTTATGGCCTGTTTCCTTTTTTTCCTGTTTTTACATTGATATCAGCAATCCCTAGTCGATATTGATCCCAAGACCCTCCTAATTCAGTCTGAATAGATACGAAAATTAAGACCCATTATGTCTGACAATCCATCAGACTTTACCTTATCCCCACCCCACCATTCCCTCATCCAAACCCTGGGACTCAAAGCAGCCTTGGGCAAATCTGAGCTTCCTCCACTAAAGGCTGGACCTGCAGGTTTCAGCTCCTTGGCACCAACTCCCATCTGCTTGGCTTGGAGAAAGAGCTGCACAAGACAGTGGGTTTCTGTGCCTGGGTTTTGGTAGCGGGGGGCTACAGGGGTGGCTTCTGTTAGAATCTGCCAGAAGCTTCCCCTGTCCCATGGAGCCAATGCCAGCTGCTCCAGGACGGAGTTCCTGCCACTGGCCAAGGCTGAGCCACTTAGGAGTGACAGGAACACCTCTGGGATATCATATTTCAGAAGAGAGAAGTGTTGCGCAGAAAAAATTCCATCCTGGGAAGAGCAGAGTGAGAACATGGGATAACAACACAGACACCAAGACCAGTGCAGAAGAGGGGCAGGAGGGACCCCACAGGAGCAGGGGAAGGACTCAGAGTTGAGGCCCCTGCAGCCCCTGGGGGAATATCGGGGTGCAGAGACCCCCCTGCAGCCCATGGAGGAGCCCACGCTGGAGCAGGGGGATGCAGGAAGGAGGCTGTGACCCCGGGGCAGGCCCAGGATGGAGCAGGTCCTGCAGTAGACCTGTGGCCCATGGAGAGGGAAGCCCAGGCTGAATCAGGTTTTTCCCAGGTAGGACTCGTGGCCCCTGTGGGGGACCCACGCCAGTACAGCTCATCCCTAAAGGACTGACCCCATGGAGGAGGGACCCACGGGACAGCAGGGTGGGAAGAGCTGCTGCCCAAGGGATGGACTCAAACAACACTTGACTGCAACTCCCTTCCTGTCCCCCTGCACTGCTGGGAGGGAGGAGGGAGATCTGAGAATGAAGGAGGGGCATGGGGAAGGTGTTTTTCAGACTGTTTTATTTCTCACTATTTGGATTTTATCCTGTAAGTAATAAATTTAAGTACTATCCCTACTTTAAAGATCTTTTGCCCATTAGTAAGCAACTTTCTCCTGACCCTTATGTCTACCCAGAAATCCTCAGCTTTTTTATTTTTTTTCTCCTCTGTGGATTTGCAGAGGGAGGGGGAGGTAGTGGCTTTTAGTGGGTGTTTGAAATCAAGCCAGGGTCAGCTCACTACACCAACCCATGCACTTGAGGCTTTTTTGTGATGTCACAGCCCATCCTCTCCATTCTGGAACAGCCTGTGGCAACCAAAGAAACAACATCCTAAAACCCCAAAGTGAAGCCCACCTGTGTGCCATGGACCTCTCCCTCACCAGCCCTTTGCCCAAGGCCCCGAGGCAGAGGTGGGCTCAGCCCCTGGGCAGGAATGGGGCACAGGCTGAGCCCCAGGGACAGCAGACACAGGCGGCCTGAGCTCTTCTTCCTGCAGCATCTGCCTGGGGCAGCCCAGCCAGGCCTGAGGCTCTCCAGGACAGGCCAAGCCCAGTCAGAGAGGGCTCAGCCCTCTGAGGCTGCACTCACTCCAAAGGGAATAAAACATCAGCCTAGAGGACATCCTGCCCCCAGATGGAGAACTCGAAATGTCAAGAATAAAAAAGTCACCCCCTCCATTATTGAAGAAACATTTCCAGCTCTTTACTAAAAGCATCCAGGACTCAGTCACCCCATTTTCTCTCTGACAAGGGTTTGCAGGGGCTGCTTGGGAAAGGGAACCCCTGGGGCCCCATTGCAGAGGGTGGGGCTGCACTCTGGGGGTGTCACCTTTGGCTCTTGGGTTCCAGGGGCAATTGGAGTCAGTGAGCCGGGCTGGGGACGAGGGGCAGCACTGGCTGGGCTGGCTCTGGTGCTGGCACAGAAAATGGAAGTGTCCCCGTGGGGGTAGCTCTGAAGGGCCCAAGAAGTAAATGCTGCCCCAGTGCAGGCTGTGCCAGGGGTGAGTGTGCAGGGGGAGGAAGCTGGGCCAGACAGGGCTGGGGAAGAATGGCCATGCCAGGGGAGGGATCTCCTTCTGCCTCCAGGGCCCAGCCCTCGTTGGGAGGGCCTTGGGCAGGGCCTGGGGTGACTGCAGGAACCCCTGAGCCAGACAAGGAACATGCTTTTGGAAGGGGGATGGACCAGCCAAGGTCTCTGAGAGATAAGTTGAGGGCTCTGAGCCAGAGAGGGGATGAGAGCTGGGTACAGGCTTGGGAATTGCTGGGAGGGCTTTTGAAATGAGCATAGGGAAGGGGATGTCTAAAAAGAAGTCCCTTAGGAGAGGGAAGCGGAGAGGTTGAGTTTTGACCCCAGCACTGGGGTGTGCAGGGCAGAGCAGAGAATATTCCCCATGTAACACTCTTGTGGGTCCGTTTTGCAGTTCTGACAGGCACTACTTGTCACAGCCTATCCTCTCTATTCCAGAATAGGCCCTGGCAACCAAAGAACCAACACCCCACACCAGCACAGTCAGACCCACCCATGTGATTTGAGCCCTTTTGTTATGTCACGGCCTATCCTGCCCATTCTGGAATAGCCCCTGGCAACCAAAAAGCCAACACCCCAAAACCCTGAAATGCAACCCCATCCGTGTGTCATGGACCCCTTTGTGATGTCCCGGTATCCGTCGTCTCCATTCAGGAATGGCCCCTGGCAATGAAGGAACCAATGTCCCCACTTTCCAAGTGCAGCCCCACTCATGTGCCGTTGGCCCCTTTGTGATGTCATGGCCTGTCCTCTCCATTCCAGAAATGCCCTGGCAACCAAAGAACCAACACCCCACAAGGTCAGAATGCAGCCCCACCCATGTGTCCTGGGCCCCTTTGTGATGTCCCGGCCCATCCTGTCCATTCTGGAACAGCCCCTGGAAACCAAAGAACCAACACCCCACACCCCACAGTGCAGCCCCCCCATCTGCCATGGGACTCTTTGTGAAGTCACGACCTTTCCCTCAGGAAAGAAAGCCTGTAACCTTTGGGTGTTAGGTATAATTGGTGGGACACCCTGGGCACTCCATGGGCAGCAAGAGCTTTCTGTCCTGCCACCTTTTGTCTGGGAAGAATATTTGACCATATTCAATTCTGGGAGTCGCACCAGCAAATTCAGTGCAGGGCTCAGAAAAGCAAACAACAGCCCTACCACCCAGGAAAGAAAGCCCTTCCCCAGGCTTTCATGTGCAGTTGGGGGCCATTGTTGGCACTCCATGGGCAGCAAGTGTGTTCTGTTCTGGCACCTTTTCTCTGGAAGGAATTTTCATCCATATTCAATGTTGAGAGTTGGACTGGCAATTACAGCGCAGGCTCCTGCAAGCGAATGACTGCCCTTCCCCTAGGAAAGAAGGCCCTTATGTCTCTCATGTTCAGTTGTTGGGCCACTGTTGGCACTGCATGGATTGCAAGAACTTTCTGCCCTGGCACCTTTTGTCTGGCAGGAATCTTCATCTTCCTAGACAAACATATTCAGTGTTGGGAGTCGGACTGACGGTTTAAGTGAAGGTCTCCGAAAAGAGAGAGACAGCCCTTTCCCCCAGGAAAGAATCCTGTAACCTTTGGGTGTTAGGTGCAGTTGGTGGGACACCCTGGGCACTCCATGGGCAGCAAGAGCTTTCTGTCCTGGGACTGTTTGTCTGGCAGGAATCTTTGTCCAGATTCAAATTTGGGAGTCGGACTGACAATTCCAGAGCAGGGCTCCTGAGAGTGAACGACAACCCTGCCCTCCAGGAAAGAAACCCCTTACCCTCGGTCTCCTTTCCTATTCCTCCAAATACAACCTGCAGGGCAGCTTTCTGGCACCTCTTCTCTTGGGGATTGTGAAGATGGTCCATGTTTAACACCTCAGGCAAAACCACCCTGTTAACACCTTTCCCAACCATCCCCAACCTTTCCCAAAGCCGAGATGTGGACGGAACAAGGGCCATTGTCCCTGGCTGTGCTGTTGTGCTGGGAGTCTCTTCCCTCCAGCTCTGCACACAGGCACTGCCCCTGCAACTGCAAAGAAGGGCTGAAGAAGCATCTTCAACACAGAAATCAAGGCAGAGAACTTTATTTCATTCAAATGTACAGAGAAAAGCTTTTTGAAAGTCCTTGAGTTAAAGAACAATGGAAGACACTGATGTAGAAATGCTTTGAGTAATGCAATTGACTGGTGGAAAATATTAAAAAAGTTAAAAGAAAATGAAAACAATAATAAAGAAAAAAGGCTTAGATTATAATGATTTACATTCTGAATGTTTCCCAAAGAAAAGATGCATTTTTTTATTGCCTCTAAATCCAGGCATCATTTTCCTTATGGCGTCCTTGAGCTCCTGGTTCCTCAGGCTGTAGATGAGGGGGTTCAGTGCTGGAGGCGCCACCAAGTACAGAACTGACAGGGCCAGATCCAGGCAAGGGGAGGAGATAAAGGGGGGCTTCAGGTAGGCAAAAATGATGGTGCTGATAAAGAGGGAGACCACAGCCAGGTGAGGGAGGCACGTGGAAAAGGCTTTGTGCTGTCCCTGTTCAGAGGGGATCCTCAGCACAGCCCTGAAGATCTGCACATAGGAGAAAACTATGAAAATGAAACAGACAAACAAGAAACACACACTAACCACAATGAGCCCAATTTCCCTGAGGTAGCCTGAGTGTGAGCAGGAGAGCTTGAGGATGTGTGGGATTTCACAGAAGAACTGGCCCAGGGCATTGCCCTGGCACAGGGGCAGGGAAAATGTATTGGCTGTGTGCAGCAGAGCAGTGAGAAATCCAGTGGCCCAGGCAGCTGCTGCCATGTGGGCACAAGCTCTGCTGCCCAGGAGGGTCCCGTAGTGCAGGGGTTTGCAGATGGCAACGTAGCGGTCGTAGCACATGATGGTGAGGAGGAAATACTCTGCTGTAAGGAAGAACAGAAAGAAAAATAGCTGAGCAGCACATCCTGTGTAAGAGATGGTTGTGGTGTCCCACAGGGAGTTGTGCATTGCTTTGGGCACAGTGGTGCAGATGCAGCCCAGGTCTGTGAGGGAGAGGTGCAGCAGGAAGAAGTCCCTGGGGGTGTGCAGGTGCTGGTCGCAGGCTACGGCGCTGAGGATGAGGCCGTTGCCCAGGAGGGCAGCCAGGGAGATGCCCAGGAAGAGCCAGAAGTGCAGCAGCTGCAGCTCCCGCCTGTCTGAGAATGCCAGCAGCAGGAACTGGGCCATGGAGCTGCTGTTGGGCATTTGCTGCCTCTTGGTGTGGGGCACTGTGCAAGGAGGAAATATCAGTGATATGTTAGCAAAGAACTTCCTCAGAAAAATCAAAGCCATTTCCCAATACCCCCTCCCTGCCACACTCCCCCATCTGTTTGGTTTTGGTTTTTTTTCTCAAATTCCCTCATCTCTCCAGGAGTGTTCCTGGATGTCAGAACCCCTCAGCACTTCAGATGCACTCAGGGAGAACAGAGCAGGTCCTTTGCTCTTTCCCCCCACAGCCCCTGCCCAGCCCTGAGGGAGCTCCCCAGCCCGGCTGAGGCTGCCCCTGGCAGGTGGCAGAGCTGCTGCCCCGGCACAGCCCCTGGGCTGCAGGACCCTGCTCTGCAGGACAGCTTGGGGCAGCCTGGGGGGCACAGCCCAGCTTCACAGCCCTGCAGGAGCCCTGGTAGAAGGGAACCCTGCTGGGATGTGCCTGGGATGCTGCAGCAGACACTGGGATGTACCAGCGCTCACAGATCTTTGCCCAACCTGCAGACACCTTGCCCTTCCTGCTGACTGACCTGACACCAACACCCAGGGAGGAGTCTTCCTAAACTCTGAGGTGTTACTGAGGAGAACAGCAGGTCAGAAAACATCAATATCCAGTTAGCCAAGGGACAAGCCCAGAGATGTGTTTTTTCAAGAGAAAAATCTGAATTCCCAAGAACTTGTCATCCAAATACTTGTCATGTTTTCCCACAGTATTTGTGCCATTTTCCTGTGAGTTTGATCTGTCTCATAGAGGTCTCATTCAAAATGTCCAAGATATAATTAAAGTTTGCATGTGAGAAAAGTCACCATGATTGTTTTCTAATCTACAAACTACATAATATAAATATACAGAAAAAGTAAATATTCTTATTTAAAACCAAAACAAATTACTGAAATACCCACCTTTATTTTAGGTGAATGCTTGAACTCAAAGCAACCATTCACATGCAGATTATCCACAGAGCAGCAATGCCTGCTCATCCCCAAATGTTGTCAAAACTCCTCTTTTGAACTCTCCGTGCTCCAAAGATCTGGGCTGGAGCCCAGGGCAGGCCGGCTTTGCTCCCAGGAACCTGCCAGAGCCCTTCTTAGGTGGTGCCAATCTGCCAGGCAGCGTTTCCCAAAGCTGGAGGAAGCCTGAAAAGGAAGGAAACTTCCCCAAAGCCAGCCAGGCTTTTCTCAGCAGCTGAGCTGCTGCCCAGAGCCTTTGCCTCCCTGCACTCAGGGCCTCCAAGGAGCTGCTGCAGAGTCCCTGGGGAGGCTTTGTCAGGAGGGGCCCTCGGGGGGCTCCTTAAGGCTTCGAGGGACTGCAGGATTTTCAGAATAATTTGGGGTTTGCTCTTGATTTTGCATCTCTGAGAGGTTTGTGCAACCCTGGCCTCCAATTATCTGCTGTAACGAGTCCCTTGAGAGCCTCAGACAGTGACAACCCTCAGTGGGCTCATTAATGCTTCAGGGCACTCAGGGTTTATTAAGGTACTTTTTTTGACACTGAGTTTTTGAGAGGTTTGTTCAGTCATGACCTCCAATTCTCTGCTTTAATTAATCCCCTGAGAGACTCTGTCAGTTGTGACACCCAGTGGGGCTCATTAATGCTTCAAGGCACTCAAAGTTTACTAAGACACTTCTTTTTCACACTGAGTCTTTGAGAGGTTTGTTCAGGCCTGGCCTCCATTTATCTGCTCTAAGGAGTCCCTTGAGAGCCTTTGTCAGGAATGGCCCTCAGTGGGGCTTGTTAAAGCCTCAAGGTAGTACAGGTTTGTTAAGGTACTTTGCCTTTTCCTTTGACTCTGAGTTTTGAAGAGCTTTTTGCATTCATGGCCTCCAATTCTCTGCTTTAATTAGTCCCTGAGAGACTTTGTCAGCAGTGACACTCAGTGGGCTCATTAATGCTTCATGATACTCAATGGTTTTGAAGGAACTTTTCCTTTTGAAAGTGAGTCTTTGAGAGGTTTGTTCAGTCATGACCTCCAATTCTCTCCTCCACTGAGTCCATGAGGAGCCTGTACTGGGAATGTCTCTCAGGGGGACCCATTAATGCTTCCAGATACTTTGGGTTTTCCTTCTGACTTTCACTTATGGACAGATTTTTACAATCTCCCCTCAGTACCTGAGGTTTAAGAATTCAGCTCCAAAAGCCCCCCAGGGCTCACTCAGATAAAGCAAGTCCTGACAAAATATGGCCCTTCCTGTGATTTCCCTCTAGTCTAGACTGTAAATTAGGAGTGTTGTCTCATGGAATCAGGGGACCATTGTGACACTGCCCAGAGCCTTTGTCTGCCTGCACTCCTGGCCTGAAAGGATCTGCTCTAAGGAGTCCCTGGAGAGGCTTTATCAGTGCCTGCCCTCAGTGGGGGTACTTCAATGCTTCAAGGGACTGGGAGTTTGGCTTCTGACTTCTTGAGCAGCTTCTTCAATCTTCAGGATGATGGACTTGTCTCTAAACACACTGTGGGGCTCATTAAAATACAGAAAAACAAATTACTTTCCTTCCTTTAATTGTTTTCATGTCTTCAAGACTTCTACAGCTAATTGGAGTTGTTTTGTAGTTTGGATGAAGAAGGAAGATTTTAAAGTGGAAGTCACAGAAATATAGTTGTTCTGTGAAGGGGAATGATTTACACAGAGCTTTGGGATGCAAGAGGGTCAAGATGCAAAGGATTTGGATCCAAAGACATGGAGGCAAAAGAGATTAGTAGGGCTTAATCATGGACTAACTTGACAGTTACAGAGGGATTCAATAAAATTTACTACAGTTTTAACAGTGACTGAATTTTAGGTTCACAATAACAACACTCACACCACAGTCAGTTCACACCCACACCCAGGCAGAGATGTGTGGACACATCAAGATCTGGGTGTGTAAAGGTCCCTCTCCAAAATTCTCCTGGTTGTCAGTGAAACCCTCCCACACATCCCTTTGTGTTTCCCACCAGACAAGGGTCAGAGCTGGAGGAGTGTTTGTTGAGGGGGATCAGAATTGTCCTGGGCATCAGCGACGCTCTTTGCAGTGTTGCAAACTGGAGGGTTCCCGAGCTCCGAGAGGCTGTGAGAGGTGTCCCACTGAGAGGGAGGTGCTGGGGAGCTCCCAGGGCCTCCCTCAGCACTGCTGGGTGTGGGCTCACAAGGGCACTGGTTTTAGTTATCTGCTGAATGTCCATCCTCCTGTCAGCAATGACTGGAGTTTCCAAAAGATTTGGGAATTGTCTCCAAACTGTTCCATTTGGGCTGCAATTCAGCCAGGAAATGTTCCAAGGCTTTCCTGGGATGACTGATTATCCTGTATTCCCCAGCTGTCCTACTCCTGGTTCCCACCTGTATCATCCAGGAGCCCCTGGTCCAGTCCAGGGCCTCTTCATTGTTCAGCTGTTTTGGTCAAGGCTTGTCAGGAGCTTCTGAAATCATTGACTAGGGCTGAGGACAATGAGGGGAGGATGCACCACCATAGAGGCCTCTAAGGAAAATAAGGATGAACTTTTTGTAGGGACTAGACAGAGCTGTGATGGCACAAATGGTTTTAAACTAAGAAAAAGCAGGTTAGAAGGAGATATAACCAAGAGTTTTTTACACTGAGGGTGGTGAAACACTGGCACAGGTTGCCCAGAGAGGTGATGCCTCATCCCTGGAAACATTCAAGGGCAGGTTGGATGGGGCTTTGGGCAACCTGATGTAGTTGAACATGTCCTTGCTCATTAAAGGGGAGTTGGAATAGATGAACATCAAAGATCCCTTCCTACCAAACCTCTTCCATCCTTCTACTGCAGCCAAGGCTGCCAAGGATCACACAGGTTTCAGACCCAGCTGAGCCTCCCCTTTGATGGCCAATCTGGCAGCTCTGTTAAAAAGCTGCTGCAAAGAACCTCCAGACCTCAAGGAGCTTTTGTGCTGGGCTGAGCTGGGGCTGCCAGGGCTGGGGGTTTGGCTTTTGGCTGCCAGGGGACCACCAAGCCTCTCTCTCACTCCTCCTCCTTCTCCATTCCCCTTGGTGCCTGCAGGGTTATTTCTCCCACATTTCCCTCACTCCTCTCTGGGTTCCAGCACCCTGGATTTTATCCTTTCTCCAAAGGGTTATCCCAGAGGTGCCTCTGCAATTGCTTTTTGGCTCAGCTTTGGGCACTGGCTGGTCCATTTTGGAGCCACTTGGAACTGGCTGTCTCTGCAACAGAGTCAACTCTTGATCTCTTCTTCCCTAAGGCAAACCTGCAGCCCCCTCCCTGCTGCCAAACCTGATACACAGGGTCAGGAAAGTGCCCAGGAATATAGGAGGTCATTGAGCCCATTCTTCCTCAGGCTGCTGAAACAAGACTTTGTCCTCTTGCTCTCCCTGCCTGCAGGTTCTCTCTGTCAGAGCAGAGCTGTGCTGGCCCTCAGCCGTGCTTTGCTCCAGAGTCTGCTGGGCTGGGGGCAGATGGCAATGGCAGAGGGGCTGAGGTGCCCCAAGGAGAGCAAACCCTGCTGTGCCCAGGCCAGAGAGACACAGGGCTGGGCTGTGCAGCCTGGCAGGACAGGGCTTTGCTGCCTTGGGGGTCTCTGCCAGCGTGGAGGGCCTGGAGGCTTCAGGTGACTCTGATCTGCAGGAAGGACAAGGTGCTGATGGAAATGTCCTTGGCTTTGGACATCCTGTGATCCAGGAACAGTGTGAAAATCACTGCTCTGTTCCTTGGCTGCAGCATCAAAGGGATGACTGAGGGTTATCAAGCATTCGAACAGAATGTCCAGGGAAGTGGTTGAGTCACTACAGGATCACAGAATTTTTAAGACCGGAAAAGATCTCTGAGATCATGGAGTGCAACCATGAACCCAACACTGGCATCTTCACCACTGAACCCTGAATCCAAGTGCCACAGCTCACTGTTTCCTGAACACTTCCAGGGATGGTGACTGTAAGACCCCAGGTTTGATCTACGAGCTCATCAAAGTGCTTTTACTTTAAAAAATAAATAAGATACCAGAATATCTGTGCTCTGCTTATTTTAAAAGGTCCTTTAGTTCTTTTAACCTTGAGGGAAATCACAAGGGAAAAGATGCCCCTACACCTTTTCTCAGGAGGTCAAATAACA